ATATATAAGTACAAATATATTAATAATTATATACCTACGCATAAATACTGACATACACACACATATATGTACTTATTCGCATCCATCCATGTACATGCATGCACGTACTCGCCTATACACACCGGCCCACAAACCAATAAACCACCACATACCAGCGAGTGCACACCCGGAAACTGGGGCCACTTCTTAGCCATATCAATCACCGCCGGTCTTATTTGTTCAAACGAGATGCGTGTGGCACACAGATCAAGTAGCTGTGCGGCGTGTCGCCATTCATCTTCGCTGTTGCACGCTAAGAGAATGACAAAGCACCAGGCCAGCTGAGGGAACGACGCCAGGCCGTTGGGGCTCAGATCCTCAATGAAGCAGCGGAAGGTCAGGAACACTTCACCGACGAACGCCTGTGTGTGGGTGTGGGTGTGTGGGTGTGTGGGTGTGGGTGTGTAGGTATTTGTGGGAGTATGTGAGTTAAAAGGAGAATGCTTGTGTGTATGTAGGTATTTGTGGGAGTATGTGGGTTAAAAGGAGAATACTTGTGTGTGTGTAGGTATTTATGGGAGTGTGTGGGTTAAAAGGCAAATGTCTGAGTGTGTGTGTGTGTGTATGTAGGTATTTGTGCAGTCGACTGTGTATGGCCAAAGTAAACTCACAAGCAATCACAGATAATTGTTGGCGTACATGGAATGGTGGTGATACGGACATCACCTATACACACACACACACACACACACACACACACACAAGTATATATATATACATATACATACACATACACATACATACACACACATACACACACATATATGTATACAATCACATACACACATCCACACAAATACACACATATCCACACACATACACACATATATATATATACATACACACACATACACACACACATATATATACATACTCATACACACACGCACACACACAGACATACACACATATATATACATATACATACACATACACACGCACACACACACACACACACACACAGGCACTACAAGCCTCCCCCCCCACACAGCATACCTGAGGCTTCTTCTCCTCCTCCAGTACACAGTGCACTAGGCGTTCAAAGAAGTCGACCAGCACCTGCCCATTGAGAGAGAGACCCAACGCACGCAGTGTCTGCAGCGACCGACTGGCATGGTCCGAGCTAGTGCAGGACACAGCCCACACATGAGCAACGGACGACCAATGCTCTACTAGCTTGTGGCAGATCGGGCTCAGAAGGAAGATAACCTGTGTGGGGAAGGACGGGATGGTATGAATGTGTACATGCTGTAGGTGGGTGGGTGGGTATATATATATACATATAATATGTGAAATGTATTATATATGTATAATATATGTATGCAAGACTTTATGTATGAATACGTTCAAATACAAATATGAATCTGGCATTTGTGGCCGGAAAGCACACACGACTTCTAGTTGAAACTGATCGAGCTCCCAACGAAGACAACAATACTGGACAGTAGTTGGGAACGACAAAACTGGAACGGAGGTTTAATGTGCTGTTAAGAGGACTGTGCGAGTGCGTAGTGTTATCGTGACATGCAAGCTATTCGATAGCAAGCATAACTGCAGCAGGGCCAGTACATTTATTAAAAATATGAAAAACAAGGATATACCCAGGTGTATATGCACGCTAATCATCAAGACGAGTAAAAGTATATATATATATATGATCATCGTATGCTAATGGTCGTGTGCTAATTATCGTATATATATATATATATATAGATATATTAATTGTGATATATATATATATAGTGATATGTATATGTATATATATATATAGTGATATCGATTTGAACACACACACACACACATTACAATATATATACATATACTGACCTGTTTCACGAGTGTGCCTAGTAGTAACGAGCTCTCCAGTGGCTGCAATATCTTTACATCCAAGTTCAGGTCTTCTTTGGACCACAGACTGGTGTCGTCATCGGCTGTGAGCATTGCGATGGTGGTCTGTGTATGGGGATGGAGACATTATGAGAATATAAGGACATCTAGGAGTATCGGATAGGTACATCATGATAATATAAGGATAACACAGACATACACAAGCACATACGCACGCACATACATACACACATACACACGCACATACACACACATAGAGACCTGAGAAACTCATATATATATATATATATATATGCATATATCCACACATTTGTCCACACATAAGCAAACATCCATACATTTCAATATATATATATATATATATATAAGTATATATCTACACACCCTGGCCGCGTCCTGGATGGGATACGCAGAGGTGTCTCGTGAGACCAGTTTGTGAATGAGATTCGCCAGGAGAGTCTTACAAGAGGTGTATAGCACTTCACTTGTCCTGTCCATATTCAGAAACAGGACATGCAGTAGTGGGGGCAGGTTTTGGACCAGCAGATTCTGGGGCAATTCCGGGGCTAATTCGACTGTGAGGAGAAGCGCGATAATCTGGCGGTCTATGGTGACGCCGAAGGTCTGTGTATGTGAGAGCGGAAACATGATTCATGGGCATAAGCATATGTGCATATACGTGAAAGGGTGTATATATGTACATACGTTAACGGGAATATGAACGTTTACGGGTGTATGTATATATATACGTTAACGGGTGTATGTATATACACTTACAAGTGTGTACATATACATTAACGGTTGCATTTATATACCTCAAGTGTGCATATACATCTACTTTAAAAGTGTAGATATACATATGCTTGAGAGTTTGTATACACATATCCTTACAAGCATGTACACACCAAAAAGGCCCCCCTTATACCCACTCCGTCTTTGTTGCGGTACACATCACATGCGAGAGATCCGCCTGGCGAGCGAAAACAGTCACTAGACTGTACTCAAAGTGTATTCACAATAGGTACTTCGTATACGATCGCGCGTAAATATATATTTGCGCGTACTGTACACCCCACGACCACAGAATATCCCCCTATATATAAATATAAATATATATATATATATATATAATATATATACAGTATATATTGTGT